TATCCACCCTGGCTCTGGGGTGCCTCATTGTCCCCCTCTTTCTGTCTGTGTATTCTTTTGCTATCCCTGTCGCCGCCGGATATCCCCTCCTCGTGAACCAAACACTCATGAACCAAGTTCCTATGTCGAGGATAGTCCCCGACACCATTTTAAAATAGACACTTGATGGGGAGAGAAAGGAATAACCAGAAATATCACCATAGAATGCTTGTAAGTCTGTCTTCTGCCTATAACTAATTGGAATACCTAAAATGGGAGTGCAACGTGTCCAGTGAAGGAGGCTTCCTGTGGAGCCTCTGCATTACATAAGACCATACATAGGTGTAATCCTGAACAGCAACAGAATCTTCAGAGGTGGGAAATTTCCACTTGAAAGGATGAGCAGACCATCCTGGAGTGGCTAGAAGAACAGAAGATACTTCTTGAAAGAAAGACGGACAGGAAAAATACAAAACAATAATGGCAGACTGACTGATTATGATAAGAACAAACAAGTGGCTCGCCCAGGAGACATCAAGGCTAGTGGTCAGGTCCCCTCAGAGCAAACCCCCTTCTAAGACTAAGACTCAATGGGAATACATGCTCTGATTGGTGACCACGTTTGCCACCGATAAGGGGAAGGGAGGGGAAAACAGCAACGAGCTGCAAGCTAAGCCCTACAACGTTCAATAGACTCCTGTGAATCTGGGTAGAGACCGGGTTAGCCAGCAGTGTGGCAAAACCTGGGGACTCTTGGGTCCAGAGTCAGCGACATAGCCACAGAGGACTTGAGTGGATAGTGAAGCATCCAGCTGATAAGAAGAGAGGGGATATGCACAAGAACACCCACACTTGCAGATAATACCCACTTGACCTGGCTTCAATGACTGGATTATCAGAGCTCAACTAGAAGAAGAAAGAAGAGGAAAAAATAGAATAATTTAATACAATTTGATGAACTTGACCTACACCTATGGATGCAGTAGCTCAAAAGAGGGAACAAATCTTTATAGCAAGGATCACTCCCACTCCCCCCACTCCATACACAGAATAGGCAGGGATTGGCAACTTGGACACTGGATATTGGACAAATGGGGGTGCTTCAAAGGCAAGAAGTGACTGGCTTACAAGCTTTCAAGAGGGAACCTAGATCCAGAGGGCGTGGAGGAAGGTAGAATCTCCACTAAGTAGTATACAATCGGTCTAGGTGGGGCTGATGAAATGAAATGTGGATAAGTCTCTTGTGATACAATAGTGAATAATTGTTATCAGGACTCATTGTAAGGGTTGGAAATGTAAAGGTAGACGTTTTGTAGCAAGGAGGGGAGTGATTAACTTTGCAGTCTAGTAGCAGAGATCCCTGGGACCATCAAGGGAGAAGAGCGGAGAGCGGGACCCTACCTAGAGAAGCAGTGACACCATAGATGGAGGCAGAGACGATGAC